TCCAGCAGCAGGAAGGTGGCCCGCAGCAGGCAGGCAGCCAGCAGCAGCCCATGGGCCCCCACAGTGTGGGGCAGGTGTGGGGGCCGCAGGATGGCCGTCCCTGCCAGCCCCGCCAGGCATCCCAGTGCCAGCAGCAGGAAGATGGCAGCCAACCCATAGACATGGGCCTCCCAGGAGAAGCCCAGCTCGTGCTGCAGCTCGGTCCAGCGCAGCCCAGTCCCGTTGGCCCCTGGCACTGGCGGGGCACGGCTGGGCTGTGGCTGTGGCTGCAGCAAGGATGGATTTCGGGGGGCTGGCTGAGGCGTCACCCCTGCTCGTCGCCACGTGGCTGAGGGGGTTGCAGTGCCTGGGGTGGGGGGCTGCGTCCCCAGGGTGCCTGCAAGCAGGAAAGAGGGGTACAGTCAGTGGGGAGTGGGGGCTCTGGTCGCATCCAGCCCCCACCTGCACCCCACGCTGTGGCACCCCAGGAGTGCAGTGGGGGATGCTCTGTGCTGGCCAGGGCTCTGCACGCTGGTGCCTCCCAGGGTTTTCTGTCAGGACCCACAGTGCAGGGGGTGTCACATCCCCGGTCATGTCCCCGACCCCCCCTGAGGAAGCCCCCACCTGCCGAGCACTTAGCACTAATCCCTGCAGGCAGGAATAGATTAGGGCCGTCGTCAGGTGCAATCCTGATTGAAGGTGTCACAGTGTCCCGGCTGGGCAGCCCAAGATAGCTGCCATCCTCCCCACCAGCCCTGATGCCCTGGGGATGGGCTCCCACAGCATCTGCAGAATGGATGGGCTTGGATGCAGCCCTGCATCACCTGAGTGCCTAGTCCCGAGTGTCCCTGTGGTGGATGGATGTGCTGCTGGCTGTGGGGTTGCCTTGGTGGCATTTGGGATGTTCACAGCTCCCACAGCACCCCGGACCCGCTGTGGGGAGCCAATGTCCTCCTCAGGCAGCAGCCCTGTGAGAGAGGGCAAAGCAGGGTACTGGCATCTGTGGGCGTTTGGTTGCCACCAAAGGGTCCCCTGCACTGTGCTGGATCCTACCTGTGCTGGAGGTGCCAAGGGTGGCCATGCTGGAGGCAGGTGGAGGCGCAGGACTGGTGCTGAGGGCAGGGCTGGTGCTGAGGACAGCCCCTGGGGTGGGCTGGGGTCCCCGCTGCCCAGTCATCCCGGGGTCCGTGCGAGGTGCTGCATCCCCAGGTCTGGTGGTGGTGTGGCTGAGCGGGGCCCTCCGGGTGCTGCGCTGGTGGAACGGGAGCCCCCTGGTCCAGGGCTCAGCCAGTCCCCAGGATGGGGTTGTGTGGGGCAGCTGTGGGGCAGAGTTTGGCAGAGCCAGGGAGGGGCTGGAGGGCCCTCCCGTGTCCCCCCAGCTGCTCACCGGCTGTGCAGAGCCAGGGCTGGTGTGGGGACGCTGGGTTAGCCGTGCTGTGGAGTGGAGCAGGGACAGTGCCCAGTGCGACTGACTGCTGCTGGCGGAGCGAGCTGTGCTGAGGCAGCTCCAGGGCCGCTGTGGGTCCCTCCACCACTGTCTGTCCCCCTGTGTGGGCATCTGCTGTCCCCATTCCCACTGCCGGCATGGGGTTCAGAGCGATGGTGGATACGGTTGGCCAAGGGCTGGGAGTGCCAGCTGTCTTTGTGGCATTCTGCCCTGACAGGGACAGACCCTGCCCTGCCCAGGGTGGCCCTGTGTCCGTGGGCACCCCAGGGCCCAGTGTGCCCGGTGCAGAGCTGTGAGGCAGAGGGCTGTCCTGGCCTTCAGCCTCATGTCCTCGCCAGGTGACAAGCGGCTCCTCTGTCACAGCCAGGGCTGTGCTGCCATCCCTCCAGGCCCTGGTGTCAGCGCCCGTCATAGTGGTTTCCATCTTCAGGGGTGCCCCTGTGCCATGCCCTGCCTGCAGCGGTGGGGACCAGTGCACGGGGCTGTTGCCCCCCCAGCGCTCCCTCCTGGAGTCCCCGGTGCCGCTCGGCTCCCCTGATGCCTCCCAGGTGGGGGATGGGCCCGGCCACTGCTGTCCCCAGGCAGCGCTGTGCAAGGGGTCCTCGCCTAAAGACATCCCTTCCGGCAGCCCACCCTGGGCCCCGGCGGGGACCACGGTGGCCAGGAGCATCCCCCAGGAGACGAGCTGTGCTGCAGCCATGGTGAGTACCCAGCTGGCCCTGCGGGGATGGGGGTCTGGTGAGCCAGGACCCACAGCAGCCG